AAAACCTGCAGCTACCACACCAAATGGTGGGAGACAAGAAGTTTTCTCCCTAAGACCAGAAACAAGACAAGAATGTCCATTCTTGCCACTTGCATTCATCCTTGTACTGGGAGATCTAAGCAAGGCAATGAAGAAAGAAATAGAAACAAAAGGCATGCCGATTGGAAAGGAAGAAACAAAACAATCTCTATTACAGAGGACATGACCTCGTATGTAGAAATTCCTAAGGAAGTCTAAACAACTATTAGAATAAATGAATTCAGCAAGGTTGTAGGATACAAGATCAATATATAAAAATAAACTGTATTTCTATACAGTATCAATAAACAAAATGAAAAATTTTTTTAAATTCCATTTAATATAACATCAAAATCAGGGATACATTTAACAAAAAAGTATAATACTTGCACACTGAAAATTATAAAACATTATTGAGGGCAAAATTATAGAAGACCTGAATAAGTAGAAGACCTTATGTTCATGGAACGGAATATTTCATGGTATCGAGATGGCAAAACAGACGGTCCTTGACTTGCCAGGGTTCGACCTGCGACTGTTCACCTCTGCGACGGTGGTAAGTGAGGTGCATTGAGTAGAAACTACACTTTGAGCACCCGTACAACCCCTCTGACTTTCACTTTCAGTATTCAATAAATTTTGAGATATTCCACACTTCCACAGTAGGCTTCCTGTGAGATGATTTTGTCCTACTGTTGGCTAATGGAAATGTTCTGAGCACATTTAAGGTAGGCTAGACCAAGCTACCGTGTTTCAGCGGGTTAGCAGTATTAAACACATTTCGACTTACTGAGATATAACCCCGTCGTAAGCTGAGAAGCATCTGTAGTCCCCAAATTGATCTACAGATTCGACCTGGTTCACAACAAAATTCCAGCTGGCTTAGCTGCAGAAATCGACAAGCTGATTCTAAATCCATATGGAAACTCAAGAGACCAGAATAACCAAAACAATCCTTAAAAAGAAAATTAGAGGCCTCATGCTTTCCAATTTCAAAACTTGGTACAAAGCAACGGTGATCGAAACAGTGCAGTACTTGCCTGAGGAAAGACAATCAATGAAACAGAACTGAAAGTCTAAGAATAAACCCTCATGTCTACACTCAACTGAAACACCCAACAAAAATGAGAGAACAATTCCACGGGAAAGAATGGTCTTTTGAATAAATGATGCTGGGACAACTGGATATAAACTTGCAAAAGAATGTTGGGTCCCTACCTCAAACCACACACAAAAATTAACTCAAAATAGATCAAAGACCTAAATATTAAACTCTAAGAAGAAAAAATAGGCATCAATATTGGTGACCTTCTATTAAGTAACGGTTTGTTAGATGTTATACCACAAGGACAAGCAACCAAAGGAAAAAAACAGATAAATTGGACTTCATCAAAATTAAAAACACTTGTACTTCAAAGGACACCACCAAGAAAGCAGGAAGACAAGCCACAGAACACGGAAGATATCTGCAAATCATGTATCTGATACGGGACTTGTACTTATAACTCTGACAACCCAACAATAAAAACCACAGGATGTGAAAAGACATTTTTCCAAAGAAGATATAAAAATGGCCAATAAGCATCTGAAATCATGCTCAACATATTAATAACTGGCCATCAAGGAAATGCAAATCAAAGCACGATGACCCGCCACTTCACACTCACCAGGATGGCTGCACTCAAACGACAGTGATGCCAAGGATGAGGGGGAACTGGAGCCCCGATAAGCTGCCGGTGGGAATGCAAGATGGCACAGCTACTGTAGAAAGAATCCGGCATTTCTCAAAAGGATGAATCAGGGCCCAGTGTCTCACGCCTGTGATCCCAGAGCTTTGGGAGGCCAAGGCAGGAGGGTCACTTGAGGCCAGGAGTTCAAGACCAGCCTGGGCAACATAGCAAGACCCTGTCTCTACAAAAATAGAAAAATTAGCTGGGTGTGGTGGCGTGCACCTATAATCCCAGCTACTTGGGAGGCTGAGGCGAGAGGATGGCTTGAGCCCAGGAGTTTGAGGGTGCAGTGAGCCATGATGGTGTCACTGCACTGCAGTCTGGGCAACCGGGTAAGACCCCATCTTTAAAAAAAAAAAAAAAAAAGATTAATCAAGATTGATCAAGGCCTTGGCCAGGGGCAGTGTATAAGGGATAAGAGGACAACGTGGTACGGATGCCAGCATCACATACGCAACAAGTTCTGCTAGAAAAGGCCTCAGGAGGGGTGACCTGGGAGGTAAGGGGGGGAAGCGGGAGCCAGCAGAAGAGATCATTTCAAGGAAAGAGGGGGGTGGCAAAAAGAAGGGCCCAAAGAACAGGAAGAAAACACCCAGTCAGGCCTCAACGGGCCCTGTGTGGTATGAAGCAGGTGGTGGCAGAGCTGTGCATGGGGGCAGCTCTGCAGGGCAGCCAGGGTGGCAGCCGAAGGGAACAGGGGTGGCCACAGCGCAAGGGGGCGAGCAGGCAGGCGACCAGTGGGCTGGACGAGGCTCCCAGAGGCTGTCCAGAGCAAGGGCAGGGGCCACAGCCTCAGTCCATGAGGGACCAGGCTTAGCGTCTGGCAGAGAGCAGGCCCCAGCCACGAGCCTCCCCAGGGCTCTGAGCCTCTGCCGTAGCAGCCAGCACGACGGGGTCCAGGCAGGACAGTTCTCTCGAAAGTCACCTGGTCCGCTCACTCCCCCTCGCTGTGGCCACGGCGACGAGGGTAACACTGTGGACTCGCCCGTCACGCCCTCTGGGGTGCGCAGCTCCACGGGCCCCCCAGCAGACGCACGGCTGCAGGCCACCAGCACTCCTCCCGCGTCAGCTCTGCGCCGAGTCTCCCTCGGCTGCCCCTCTGCAGACCCCGCAACACTCCTCCGCCACCTCCTGGCGGCCACTGCTGTGTTCTCCCCACTTCCGTCACACAGACGGAGTCATCGGTGTGTGGCCTTCTGGGTCTGGCTGCCTTCACTGCTCGAAACGTCATGGTGCACTAAGCGTCACCCACGCCGCTGCACAAATCACGCCGTCTGTCCCTTGGTGTTGCCGACCACGCCCCTCTACGGCGAGTGCCACAGCGTGTCTGTCCAGTTTGTTACCAGGTGAGGACACCCGAGTGGAGTCCAGTTCTCGGTGACATCAATAAAGCTGTTACAAACCCTCATGTGACCGAGCGCCCACTTTTAATTTCCTGGGTGTGCTTTAACACAAGGATATGTGGGGTTTTGCTTTTCGTGCTTTGGTGCGTGTTTTCCTTCACTAGCAGGTCTGTGTGTGTGTCTGGGTGACGTGAAGTCAGGATGGGACAGACTAGAAACGACGCAGCACGCCTGCGTAAAGCGAAGAGAGTCAGAAGCCTGGGGCAGGTGAGAAGAATGTGGGCCCAGGCTGGAGTGCAGCCACGGCTCGCGTGCACGAGCGAGCCCCGCCCTTACCTGCTCGCAGCAGCTCGGTCTTCACGCAGCAATCCTGCTTCGGCTCCCCCTTTGCCGGAACTGCCTGCTAAAAAGAAACAACAGCCATCAGCACGGGTTGACCAGCAGACAGACCACACAACACGCCAACACAGCTTCTCCAAACGCACCCCGTCAGGGGAAGTCAAAGACAAACCAGTCACAAGAGACACTGCGAGCAGCAGGGCAGTCAGGGCTTATTCATGGCAGCAGACAACACAGTCGCCTCCAGGAGGAGAATCAGCATTCGGAAGACAGTCCAAGGAAACTTCTACTCCATTTTTTTGTTTTGTTTTTTTTTCTGAGACAGAGACTTGCTCTGCTGCCCCAGATAGAGTGCAGTAGCGTCATCACAGCTCACAGCAACCTCAAACTCCTGAGCTCAAGTGATCCTCCCGCCTCAGCCTCCCGAGTAGCTGGGATGACAGGTGTACACCACCGCACTCGGCTGATTTTTCTGTGTTTCTTTTTTTTTTTTTCAGTAGAGACGGGGTCTCGCTCTTGCTCAAGCTGGTCTCTAACTACCGACCTCAAGCGATCCTCCTGCCTTGGCCTCCCAAAGTGCTAGGATTACAGGCATGAGCCACTGCATCAGGCCTTATCCGTATTTTTGGAGACAGTTTTTTTTAACAGTAAGAATGCATTCATGTATTACTTATATAATCAGATATCTAAAATGCTTTGGTTCTGTTATAGGAATGTTATAATTTACTTCAAAATGCATTCTGCTGCTGACAATAATTCATGTATTTCAAATGTCCAACCTACCAAAAAGTTATAGAAATGGATAAATCGAGAAAATTCAATAAGAAACTTAAATCAGTAAATATTTAAGCGTCTACTACATAGAGGCATGTATCACACAAGGCCTCTTGAAATTTTTTTTTTTTTT